CATATAAATGGTCATATACAAAAATGTGAATACATGTACGTATACACGTGGGCACGTTCCCGAGTGGTCAGAACGTTCGCATTTTGACTATGAGACCCGGGTTCGAATCTCGCCACGGTTGATTTGTCAGCAAGGAGATTCCCTGATGTTATCGGACTGGAGGGATCGATAGCAGCATGCAGCACCTTTGGAAAGTACCTGAAAACCATACCACAAGTTGACCCAGGCCTTATGAGTGAAATTGGGTAGATGGAATCCTTGGGGACGTCGATAGCTGTGCTAGCACGAAGTTACCAAACATCGTGGTCGAGGGCTTGAGTGTGCTGGCCTTGTTCAAATTTTAATCACGCTAGATAACACTCTCTTTCCCAGAAGCTGTAGCAAAGCTCTGCTCAGCATAGTTGCAGGTGGGTTTAGTAAACACAAATGCGCCTGAGCAAGCGTCTATATTAGGGATTGGCTAGCCGCCCTAGTAGATGGATATACTCGAATACGAGTGCCCAGCTATACATACCCATATAAAACAGTGTATATTATCCAAAATCAAAGTTTTTAGGAAATTTTAAATCTGTTCTTCTGTCTACACTTGAAAATAACTTCGTTTCTTTGATTCAATAATTCATTCGTATTCTTATACTTAATCCATGCGATTTTTTCCTGTATGCATAGGTTACATCTGTTCCGGAAGTTGGGGGAGTCTGGGATTGAGAGATGATCCACCATTTGATTTGTGGGGTGAAACCTCTATCTTTAAGATTCCAATAATGTTTGGAATGAGCAGTTTGATATCTTAAAGATGCATTGGAGAAGGAATGCTATTGATTATAAAGTCTCTGTTTTCAACTCTAAGCGGATATCCTTATGTATACTTTTGTTCTCATTGATATTTTCTTTCGGAAAAATGGTAGCTTCGCATTTGTTTACATCAGTTATATTTTTAAATTATTAATCATTTTTATGTTAATTTTTGATAATATTATCTTTACTATCTTATTATTAGTTTAATTCTTATTTTTATCCTTATCTATATATGTATGTATATGTATGCATATATATATATATATATATATATATATATATATATATATATATATATATATATATATATATATATATATATATATATATACATATATATAAGTTCTTTTAATTTTTATTTATTTATCTAATTAAAATTAATATTTTTATATATTTTAAATTTGTAATTTTATTTTATTTAACTTACTTTTATTTTATTGATGTCAAACAGTAATAATAATTTTTTAATTTGAAATTGTGATGATTATAATGCGATGATGATTCCTTTGCTATCGAAAATGATATCACTATTAGACACGTTACTGTATCTATTTTAAGTCTGACTACACCCTCTCTTACTCTGTATATTAACTTATTCAGCCCTTAAAGAAAAAACATTTCTAGGCCAACTTAGCGGCTCATGTTTAATTCTTCCTTATTTCCTTTCTTTTCTTTCCCTGCTTCTCTCATTCTCCTTCTCTATCCCCTCCCACTCTTCTCTCTCTCTCTCTCTCTCTCTCTCTCTCTCTCTCTCTCTCTCTCTCTCTCTCTACCCACCATTTTTTAAACCTCATATTGATTTTTTTTTCCTTTTTTAATATATTTTTTTTTCCTTTTTTTTAATTTTTTCCTTTCTCTCTTCCTTTTGCTTGGACAAATTGATTCCATTTATTAAAAACTTTGGTCTGAAGAGATGAATATGTGAATATATTCATAAAATAAATTATAACCGAAAGGATTTTTAAGGATCGTCATGTACTTAATATTATTATTACATTGCTCAGTTACTTACATTGAGCTCTCTTTGTATTAATGTCCTTGGAATTATCCCTACCAACTATCAATGTGATATATATATATATATATATATATATATATATATATATATATGTGTGTGTGTGTGTGTGTGTGTGTGTGTGTGTGTGTGTGAGTGTGTGTGTGTGATAAAAATATAGACTTTCATGGTGTGCTATATCGAGGTATAAAGCGTCTGTGAATATAAAAGTGAACATTGGGGTCAACACAGTTTTACTCTTGAAAGCAATTTTCAGGTTTTTGTGTATTCAAGTTTAATCTACAGGGAAGCGACCTTCGCCAAATGCAATCTTCAGGCGGTCATGAAGGTAATACCAGAGCATCTAAGCGTCGAAACACAACCACCTGTCTGCTTAATGGTAGATTTTTGACAAAAAAGGTGCTCTATAATGCGAAAACCCGTAGCGAAAGGGAAATGATTTTACATCGGCACTGCAGAGGTTGAAGAGAAGAGAAGATATTATAACCACCGACTGTGCATAAACAATACCAACTATAAAAATTCCACTAGGTTTGATACATATTTCTGGATAGTGAAAGAAGCAGACAAACTGGACCCTGCGATCGTGTGAGAAATACTAAGCATGAACAGCGGAAAAAGTGATAATTGCAATTTGTGCCGCTGTGAAAAAAAAATGATGATATTACAAAATATGGGTGATGAGAAAATGCTGCAGGAAACAAGAGCGTATGTCCACTTGTAGACATAAGAGTTTGTTTTTATCTACAACTTGAGCATAGATTAATATGCCTACATCCTTCTGTCTCTATACTATTATACAAAATTCTAGAATACGTTACATTCGTCATACGAATACACATCATATGTGATGACTTAACTTTTCTGCTATTTTTAAATAATTTCCTGAAAAATATTATTAATTTACCTTCCCTTTCCAGTTCCTTACCTCCCAGCTCTTCCGCTGCTCGCCGACATATTGAGGACGAAAATCCATGAATGGAATTTTACTATCGTTCCTGACCGCTTGAAGATTGTATTTGAAGAAGCTCGCCTCCTTGCATCTGAAACAAGAAGTCACGAAGACATCTGAAAGGTCAACTTAAATACCTTTTATTATCATTTATACCTTGTTCTGTATCTTTTTATATGTTCCATCGAGCATTGTTTTTTGTAACGTCAGCTTTTGTTGATTTTATAAACACCATATAATTCGCTTCTCTAATATTATTATTTGTGCTAAGACAACCCAGTTACCTCCCTTGTCTTATGCTTTGCATAAATAAGCCACGCCGTTAAGCTAAATCGGCAAGGCTCTTCAATAAAGCCGAACTAGACTCCGAGTTTTCATTCCAATAGTTGAGCATTATTTTTATGTTATTACATATTTGACATACACTGCAGTGGAGACGAAAGACCTCGGTTATTCCAAGAAGAACATTCCAGTCCTATGTGAAAAACAAATGATACCGGTTTTCACTGCTCCAGAAGATGGAAAGCTTTATTACTACGACAAAATGGAAGCTATTTTTGCCACACAGCCGGACAAAAAACAAACGAAATGTAAGACTTTAGGTAAAAAATATATACTCCTCATGATGACTGTCTACTGGAGGTTGAATATAACCTATTCTCCATAGCTAAAAACATAAAATTTACAACTAGGAGCAATAAGTTACAAATGGAATTAAAAGAAAACTCACGAAATATTAGATCATTTAAAAAGATATTAATTAAAGCAATAAATCGGAAAACTACTACAAAATCAGTAGTGATGATTATAAAAATTCCCGCGATGAAGAAGTACAGAAATTTTATAAAAAAAACGCCGCAAGACTGGGGAAACCAATTAACAACGTTAATAAAAATACTGAGACTGGGGATTTAAGCATAAGTGATAGAATGCTTAAGCGGTATAAGCAAAAAACATTCATTTCTATCAAAGACCACAAAAAAAACTTTTGTAACTACCAGCAACATCGGTTACTCAACTCTACCAAGAATGAGGTGTGTAAAATAAGTAAGGAAAGGACGTGAAATACTAGAAACGCCTTGGGAGTCAATCAGTAGCGTAGTACCGAAAGGTCTATAAAATGGTTTAGAGGATTTAAGAATAAAAAAGAATGTATATTCTTGCAGTTTGATATTAAGAAATTTTAACCCTCAATATCTAATAAACTATTAACGGGATCTATCGAGCTGAGCAGGGAGTATTGTTGTATTGATGATAACGAAATCAAAATAATCAAAGAAGTTCAGTGCCATAATGATGCGCAGTGGGTAAAACGGAACAAGAGAAAGTTTCACGTGACATTTGAAGTCTATGATCCAGCGGAAACGTGTAAGATGTGAGAAATCTACTTGTTATGGAAGCTTCGACAACAATTCGAATTGCATGACGTAGGGCTCTACCGAAACGATGGGCTCATAGTACTAAGGAAAAATGCTATGAGAATGTGGAAAAGGACCGAGAAGATATTAGCAAATTCTTTTAAAATCACGGCCTGATTATGAAAATAGAGATGTGTAGTAGAGATGCCAAATTCCTAGATGTGTCCTTAACCTTAAACAATGTAGGCCGTATAGAAAAAGCGTGCGGAACATTACATATGTGTAAATTAATCTTAACCAAATCCCCAGCTTAACGACCGCACATACACAAGTCAGTTCAATCTTTGCTATATCACAATTCCGCAAATGAAAATGTGCTATCAGTATGTCTTGCTAAAAAAAAAAAAAAGTGGCCAGCCACAATTATAAGATAATTTACTGCAAAGCGGATGATGGGAACAAAAACTGTAAGAACAACGGCAACCGTAACAGGAAAGTGATTTGGTTGATCCGACGCCTTCAGCAAGACTGTATGGACTAATGTCACCAGAGAATCCCTCATCATAAGCATTTTACGAGTAATGGTTTACTAGAAACTTTTCTACAAGATCAACATAAAAGTCAGTTATAGGCGCTTAGGCAACACGGCTAAAAAGATCAGCAGCAATTACAGCAAGTTATTACCTGGTAGTAATAATGGGGACGGTAATACCAGAGCATGTAACTGCCGTAACACAACCCACTGTCCGCTGAACGGTAGATTTTTGACGAAAGCAGGTGGTCTATAAGACTAAAATTCGTAGCGAGTGGATGAATGGTTTACATCGGTGCTATAAAAGGTGAACGGAAGAAGAGTTATTATAACCACAGGCTGAGCATGGATAATGCCAAATATAAAAACACCAAAACGTTCGCTGCATATTTCTGGAGAGTGAAAGACGTAGGCAAACCGGGCCCTGCGATCGTGTGGGGAAGTGTGGAGAGGTTATTTGACAGAAAAGGCGATATTTGTAATTTGTGCCTCTGAGAAAAAAATGATGATATTACAGAATATGGGTGATAAGAAATAAAAGTAAAGTTTTTACTTGTGCATAGATTAATAACTTGTTTTACTTGTGTATAGATTAATAAACCTCCTTTACTTGTGCATAGATTAATAAACCTCCTGTCTCTCGACTATAATACAAAATCCCGTGATATGTTTGTATTGCACCATGTATGGTGTTAATTTTCTGATAGAAAAAATAAATTCCGGAAAAATATTGCTGATTTACCTCCCTTTCCCACTTCCGGCTTCAGCTTCACTTCCGCAGCTCGCCAGCATATTGCAGACGAAAACGCATGAAGTGAATTTTACTATAATTCTGTCCTTGAGGACACATGGCACAGTGGATAAAGGCGTTAGTTAGATCCAGTGACAGGATCCAAAGAGTGTGAGTTCAATACCTGGTTAAGGCAGTGGAGAACTTGGAGAGGAGAATTAACAGGCGATAAATGATAACTGACATCCATTAAAACATGGCATGTGGAACTAGACCAGTCTACGCCAGTGAGCGAAATAAAGGGTTCAGTTCGACATTACAACCACCTGAAACGTTGAAACGGCCGAAACGTTGTGGTAAATATGGCAACAAAGATGAGGAAATTCAATCTTATTGTTAGTTAGAAAGTTCCATTTCACTGAATGCTTTTAAAGCTTAGTAAATAACAATAATATCCTTGTGATTGAAATAATCAGAATGTTTCCACTGGTATCGGTGGTGTGCGTTCATGTATAGGCAAAAAAATAATAATAATTTCAAACGCTTATTTTCAAGACGTTGAACTCCTCTGACCCGTTACTATCTTCTGACTTTTCTATAGAATTATGGGCTAGACTAATATTAAATTCGTTCATGTAAGCTTTGCCGTGGAGTAATAGTTAACAAGTAAGCATTGTTCCCCTTTAATATAGCAGTGAGTTCAATACTTTTTGAGAGCAGACACTTATGCCCATGCTAGTAAATATGAATAAGGAAATTCTTATCCTTTTTGAAAGGCTTTGAATTTCACTGTACATGCTTGTACAAATGTTAAGAAAACTAAGTGAGATTCAAATGATGTTTCTATTCCTACTCCTCACATCTTCACAATTCTTCGTAACTTATTTACATCGATATTGATTCGATTTTTTTGATTTTTCCGTCCTTATTTATTTATTCTTTATTATTTTTCTTCGTTTTTGTGTTTCATCATTTCATTGATTTCTAAAATATTCACTTCTGTCATCTTTGTTTATTTCCTTCATTCCTTCATTCAATATATTTGTAATTTTTAAAAAATTTTTTTAGTCTTTTTTTCTTTCATTTATAATTCTTTCTCTCATTTCCATTTAGTTGTTTTTTTCTGGTGATTTTTGTCTATAATATTTTCGTATTTTGTTTTATTTTTCCTTTTATTCTGTTCATTGTTCTCTCATTTTATTTTATTCTGAATTATTTCTCTTTCTTTTTGATCTTTCAATCTATTTTCCTTCATTGATTTATCATTCAATAATCTTATTGATGCCACGTAATACACCATCTTAAATAGTCTTGAGTCAATCGCTCGGAGAAATTTTATTGAATAAAACTTTCAAAAAGTATTTAAATAAAAAATTGCTAATGACAAAGTTCTTTTATGCGTGTTTGTTTCATTATATTTGCCTTTTTTTCTTTTGGTATTGTTTATATTTTACCAAAAGTTGTTTTATCTTTATTATCTCCCCTTTTTAATGGCGGGTCTTCTTTGCCCGAAAAGATATTAACGAACTGTTTTCTTTTTATAAAGACACTAATAGCATTTGATTTACTTGAGTGGCTGTAAATGTCACTCATTTAATTAATCAATTCAAAGGGGGAAAATACAGAACTCTTTTTCTTCTTTTTTTCTTTTGTTTTTTTTTTTTTTTTTGTAGATGAAAGAAATAAGGATAAGCTGGAAAGTATCAGGAAAATGGAAGAAAAAGGAGGATGAGGAGAAGAAAAATTAGAATTTTAGGAAGGCAAATTTTTAAAAACCGTAGCACATTCTAGAAAAGGTATAAATAAAATTGTGGGTAAAGAAGAAAAATGAATGAAAAAATTAGGAAAAAATGAAGAACAAAGAAACTTTTTATTATAAACAAAAATTAGTTGTTTACAACTTGAACATTTATTTCGACCTCAATTTGAATTTTGTCTACTCAACCAAATATTTAAATCACCTTCGTATAAAATGAAAAGAATCCATGGTTTCCGGTGTGACTAAAGAGAAAATTACTGCCATCGGAAATAAAATTTTAATATAAGATGACTCTTTCTAATGTAATGGTTAGCAGAATAGTGATAGAGTGAAATCTTCATTGAAGGAATCACATTTATGCTTTTAGTTTTCTAAATGTTTCAGTTTAGAGAATTGTGTTAGTGAGCCAGCCGTAAGGAAAAAGGGTTAATCTGATTCGATGATACTTACGATATGATGAATAACTGCGGTTAAATGTTTAACTAAACTAAGTACATCTTTCTTACTTTTGTCTCTTTCACAAGTGACTCGCCGTAGAAGAAGGTGTGTGCTACAATTGGAAGAGAGTCTTCTATCAAGAGCATCGATTCAAACAACCACTATTCTAACTTACAGTTTGAATCAATGAGCGTTGAAAGTTAGAATCAGTTCAAAATCTCTGTAACTGGTACGCATGACGTCGCCATGGGCTGATTTACAATTTCAATTTTAAAATTCCCTAATATCTAATCAATGTAAGCATGTCTACCACATTGATGACACCTAGTTCTTCATAATGACAAGATGGAAAGACGGTAAATTCACAAAAAAACGAGCCGAAAATGTTTAACAGAAGCATCACCACATTTGGTGAGTTTGGTTAATGTGTGCATGGTATGTAAGTATCAACTACCATTGTACCAACTTGAGCTTGCCAAAGAAGTATAGTGGCCTGTGTTCCTAAATGACTCTTGCTGACCGTCTGATGATTGCGCAAGAACGCCATTCTGATCCACAATTATTCCACTCAATAGCATCTAATTACAATAATACAATAGACCTATCCATAATGAATCACTGATCTGTATATATAAATACTTGAGAAAAAACACAAGTCACATGTCCTAACAATTGCTTTTTAGCAGGAAACTGACTATCGCCTCTGGGTGTTGACTTCAATATCTACTTTTATACACACACACACACACACACACACACACATATATATATATATATATATATATATATATATATATATATATATATATATATAGGTATGATGAATTGGATTGCGATTACGAATCCACTGTAATAAATTATAACCATGGAATATTAGTGTTTGAGCCTTTTAGATTATATTCTTACTCTGTCCTATGGGCATTGAGTTCTACCTGGATTCTATCCTCTTGTGAATTTATATATATATATATATATATATATATATATATATTCAGTTCTAATACTATATATAATTCATCTATAAATATACTATATAATTCATATAGTTTTTGATATTTTAATGTAGTTATCCATATAGCAAACCTTAATATTTTAAGTTTTAAAGTTATTCGATGTGATTTGTAATGTGTGAGTAAAATATCCAAGAAAAATTCCTCTTAAAACATTTTTAATGTCACTTAAAATTTTTCTTAAAAACGAACCGAAAAGAGCAATGCAGAATGACAAGTTTCAGATATTTAAAGTTCAAACTAAAATCACAATTACTTAAATATGAATCGCCATTTCCTGACGGAATAAATAAAATAATAGATAACATATTCTATGATAATGATTTCTTTAAATATCCAGAAAATATTCAAGATTAAAGTTATATACAATATACATTTCCATTAAGTTTCTTATTAACTTAAGTTACAACAAAAATCATGTCATTTTCATTTTGTGTATTTTTAATCTAAACCACACGTGTTTATAAATCCTACCAGATGTATTCGTATCTGTCTTGGTTATTTCATGTCTGTTTCTCTGTTTCTATATGAAGCCACACACACACACACACACACACACACACAGATAGATAGATATATATATATATATATATATATATATATATATATATATATATACCAGCTACATTTCGTCCATCTACGTTTACTCATCTCTTTCTATCTATCCCTCCAAATTTGCCCATATATCTGTTTGTAATAGATTTTATAATCTATCTATCTATCTATCTATCTATCTATCTATCTATCTATCTATCTATCTGTACTTGAAACACCTGATATTAAATAGCATTATTAATAAACGTGCACACTAAATATGATACATCCCGCATCACTTGATATGAATTTTCATCCAATTTATTTTCTTCAATTTTTGTCTTTCCAATTTTTCCCTTTTTTTCTCTCGTCTTTTTCAAAATTCCTTTCTTATCCTACATCCTTAGTCATGCATATACACACTTTCCTTCACTATGAATACGCCAATGAAAAACCTTAATCCATCTTTCCGCTTCACTAGTTCTGTTCAATCCTCTTTAATCTCATGTATTTCTCTCTTTTCTCCGAAAGACGTATTTGTTTCCCCACCCCCTTTGTTTTATTCCGTCTCAATCTCCGGTTTGTACACCGCGATAAACTTATAATCATAAGCATCGACGCACATTTAAAAAAAAGACTTCCTGCACATAAAGGATTATAGATGTCTCAGATATTTACTTGCTGGTACAGTTTGGTTTCACAGCGATATCCGAGGAATTTAATGACTGTGGCAGTTTTAAAACCTTATAGTTGACTAAAACAATAGAATCGTCAAAATAAAATTAATAACTAATTACAATTATGCAGAAAACAAAAATAAGTAAATATTTTGTTTTATACCCCTGAGAAATAACGCAGCTAGCGTCCACTAACTTTAAATATAGCAAATAATTGTTTTCAGTTTCTTAAGTATCGACATGAAGAATAAGGAATTTATTAAACTATTCATCGAAGAAAGACAGGCATAACAGAAAAAAAAACTCTTCCTAACTCAGTCCAAACCTTGAATAGGAATGATTGGTGCCAAGGTTGTTGACTTTGAAGTATTTCCCTGGAGACGACATACCTCTCCCAAGATAATTTGCGCAAAATAAATGCTATTCAGGTTCTCCCCTTTCAATGCAGCACAGCATGCATGTCATAAAGAATTGTGCATAGCAGACTTCACTTGTCAGAAATGTGCATACCAATATGTACCTTTGCTCTGTCATTTACTGCTTGTCCGAAATAGTTCAGGAAACACGTTTTGTGAAGAAACAAAAATCGGCATTTTATTTTGCAAGCATCATCAAAGTCAAAACTCATAACTATACATGCGTCCTTATACTTCATTTAATTTTTTTTTTTGAATACACATACATACATATATATATATATATATATATATATATATATATATATATATATATATATATATATAAATATATATAAAGAAGAAATATAGTCTTAGGATGTGGTATATTTATGGGATAAAGTGCTCAATATCAGAGATAGAGCGTTTGTAAATATAAAATTTTATATATATATATATATATATATATATATATACTCTCGACTCTCCCGTTGAATTCGACGTATGAGGGTCAAGCAGATCAGATCCTAGGAAGCCGACAGCCCGACAACGCCACATGAGAGTTGATTATAGTGGTGAAGGTTTCGTGCAGGATCATCCACACATTTTGAAGGGCCGAATACAGAGACCTGGTGCACTACGTGCCACATGGTCCCCAAACGACCCTCCGCAGGTTTTGAATTCAGAGTTGTTCTTCTCCTAGACCAGCTGCCATCCAAGGCTATAGAACCAAGTCTGCCTATATATATATATATATATATATATATGAGATAACGATATATATTTTTATTTATCAAGAACAATATTGATCTAAAATGTATCACAAAGTGGAAAATGTATAGAGAATGCGTTGATCGCAAGGTTATCTACATTAAACTTGCTCCCAGGCTTTTACAATATTCCACCATTCCTATTAAAACTTCTATTATCATATTGTGGGATATCTACTTACAAAAGTGAGAGAGAAAAAAGAAAAAGAGTCTAAATTAAATCGGCTAGATTTTTCTATTTTAATTAAAAAATTTTAAATTCCCAGTATTCCTCGTTAGTGCGCATATGTAGCCGCACCAACATGAAGTCCTAAAGGACGAAACGCGTCACACGAAAAATTTTCTACGTTGTCATACATTTCCACCCCCGACACACACACACACAGGCGCATGCAAACACACACACATATACATACACACACAAATACGTATATATATATATATATATATATATATATATATATATATAATGAATGACAAGTGTTAAACTTATTTTTACAACCCATTTCGTTCCTTAAGTAACTTCACCAAGGTAAGTGTGGAAATTTATTGAGAAACCTGTATTTATGCCCACAGAAAACCTCATCGTCGAAAAAACAACGTTAGGCAAGTACAAATTAATTATGAAAATATTATAAAATATATTGAAAAGTCTTTTCAACGTTATCGAACAGAAGGAAGGAATGACGTAGACTAAGTGAAAAGGTTTCACCCGTTAAAAGTTGGCAACGTCTTATTTCAAACTTTGTAAATGCTTTTATAAACATTGGGGACGAGTTCCTGATACAAAAACATAGTAAAATGTTCATATAAATTTTTTTCGAAAAGTCCATCGTTGTAAGTCAACACAGCAACTCATAACAAATGTTCAAAATGTCCTCCGTTTGTCCTCCGATGCCTGTCGGATCATTGAGTGGCGGACCCTTTCAAATACTCTCAAACGGTGTCGAATAGTTTTGCAAGCACCCATGACGCTATAATGAAGTGTCTCTGCATTATTAGTGTCTGCTGCATAAACCAATTGTTTTAGGTGGTCCCACAGATAAAAATTCCATAGGATTGAGGTCGGGGAACGGGCAAGCCATGGAACGGGTTCCTCACTACTTATCTATCTTTCATGGTAAATGTCAGCCAGTATGTCGAAAACAATTTGACTAAAATGTACTGGAACCACGTCATGCATGAATCATATACGTCTTCGTATTTTCTGGGGTACATCTTCTAGCAGATATGGAAGTGTGTTCGAAATAAAGTTAATGTAGAGAGTTCTTGTAAGACGTACTGGGAGAACATATGGACCTACTAGACAGTCACCTAAAACTCCAGCCCATACGTTAATTGTAAAATGATACTGGTGTCTAGCCTGTATTTAACCACGAGGATTCCGATCCGCGCACAGATGTTGGTTGTGTAAATTTGTTATTCCATCTCTTCCAAATGTTGCCTCATTCGTAAACAAGACTGAAGAAACGGATCGACAGTTTATGCAATAAACCATCGACAAAAGTTTTCCCATGATCGATGAACTTAGAGCGAAAAACCCTACAAATGTTGCAAATGATACGTATACAGGAGGGTTTTATACCTCGAAAAAATTCCAGCAAAAACAGTCAACCCTGAATGCCCTGCAGCCATAACTCACCTAAACCATTATTTTAATATATATTGCAAGGATCAATGTTGTTCGACCCTCACTGAATTCAAAACTACCCACAATCGCTGCAAAATATTCTAGAAAACGCCAAGAGCAACTACGCACGAGCTGTCCACACCGAGGTTGAAAAAGATTGGAACACGTGAATTCTGGAAGATCACCAACCACGAACAGAGGTAAAGCGGTTCTGCCCACAATTTTAAATAGCCCCAATGTAATATCTTCCTCGACATATAAGGCGAACCTCTTCGGCTCTATCTTTGCCTCAAACTCAACGTTAGATTACAAAGACTATCCCCTCCCCAAGTTCTCATCCAACACAATCTCGGTAATATTACCATCACGGCACGAGAAGTCTCCAGACTTATCAAAGATCTCCAGCCTAAGAAAGCCACTGGCTCAGACAAAATTTCAGTGATTGTCCTTAAGAACATCAACTTGGAATATCCCCAATCCTTGTAAAGTTATTCAATCCGCTGCTTGAAGAAGCCCTTCCCAAGTTTGTGGAAAGTGTCAAGCATATGCCCGGTTTTCAAGGACGCGAATGTGCGATCTTCCCTCTCCCAGTACAAACCCATTAGTCTCCTCAGTATCATCAGCATACTCTTTGGAGCCATAATCAATAAGAGGGTCATCGAGCACCTAGAAAAGAAAACCTCTTTAATGATGTGCAGTATGGGTTTCGGACGGCTCAATCCACCGCCGACGTCCTAACTACCATCACTCACAGAATTAGTGAGGCTCTCCACGACAAACACACCTCGAGGACCACAGCTCTAGACCATAGCACCTTCAACAAGGTGTGACACAAAGGCTTACTACACAAGCTCTCCAGCTATGAAATCGCCGAAAGGGACTTCTCGATCATAAAAGCCTTCCTAACATGTGGGTCCATGAAGTTAGTTATATTGATAACTACTTTCATAGAGCCCTAAAGGGGAACGCAGGCGTCCCCTACGGTCCACTCCTTGGGCCAATCTTCTTTTTTATTTTCATAAATGATCTGCCTTAGAATATACTCTGATCATTTGAAAACATCTATGCCGATGATATGACTGTATATGGGCGCACCTATGAAGTCCTCGATGGCTTAAAGATTGGCGACTGATCTTCCGATCTCTCTTCCGATCTTGCACAAATTACCCAATGGGGTAATAATTGGCTCGAAGACCAAGCTAGTTACATTCCATCATCGCCGATGTGACCCCGAACTACTACCAATCAGGATGAACGGAGGTCCTCTCGGGAAAGACTGTTCGGTCTGAAACTCACACCCGACTTTAAGTGGAATTCGAACATATGATCCATTGCTAAGGAAGCAGGTAAAATGTCCTGCTTCTGTAGCGCTTCAGTAATAACCTGAGACCTGCTTCTGATATTCTCTACCTTTACAAGTGCTAGGTCAGGCCAAAAATGGAGTGCTCTTGTCATATTTGAGCGGGTGCTGCCCAGACCTCACGTTCCAGTCTTGATGAAGTTCAAAAGTATTTCTGAAACCTTTTGGGTGACGAATTATTCTCCACCCTTCACCTTCTCTCCCACAGGTGGGATGTGGCAAGCCACTTTCTGCTATATTGCTAGTTCCACGGAAAGTGCTCGGACGAACTACATTCCCTGGTCCCACCGAGACAAACCTTCACAGCAAGAACTCGCCATACCACTAACATTGCAGCAAAGCACCCACATTCCCTCCGTATAGCATTGGTGAGACGTAATTTCCACTCGAGCAGCTTCTTCTCGCGACTCAACGGACTCCCAATAGGAAGTTTCTCTGATCACTATATATATATATATATATATATATATATATGAAGAAATATAGTCTTAAGATGTGCTATATATATATAGGATAAAGTGCTCAATATCAGAGATAGAGCCTGTGTAAATATAAAAGTGAACATAGAAGTCAACACTTAGAGGCGTGCCACGTTTTAATGAATGTCAGTTATCAGTTATCTTCTGTTAATTTCCCTCTGAAAGTTCTCCACTGCCTTAGCCAGGTATTGAACTCACACTCTTTGGGTCCTGTCACTGTCTCTAATTAACGCCTTTATCCACTGTGCTATGCGTCCTTGATTTTCCAGTGCTCATATTGCAATTTTTGCTGTTATCATTGCGTGTTATTACCAGAGCTTATATTGCAAATTTTTTTGTTATTATCGCTTTTCTCTGGCACTCCTTATTACTGGTTCCCATATTGTATTCATTTCTATACTTGGTCGGCTCAGGAGATTTTTGCGGCCTTGCATATGTGCTGATTCCTTAACTTTGCGAATTTCCCAATGGTTTTCTTTGTCTATGATCTCAACCTGATCCCACAGAGGGCAGTGATCTCCCTTCTCTCTCCATATGTGGTCAGCCACGCTTGATTTTTCCACTTCCCCTTGTGTTACAGCTTTCTGGTGTTCTTGAAGCCTTACCTTAAGGGGATGGCCTTTCTCCCCTTTGTATTTCTTTCCGCAGCTGTATGGGATAGCGTACACACAGTCTTTAGTTATGTTCTCCTCTATGGGGGGGGGTTACACGGAGTTCGTCAAGCTTTTGAAGGTTGTCCTGGTGTTATATGGAACGCAGATCCTTTGTATTTTCTCTGATAACTTCTTCACATAAGGCAGGCAGACTGTTTACTGAGTGTTGTTGTCCTCCTCTTGTATCCGCCTATCCCAGTTTTTTTAGTCCGAATAATATAAATAATGTACATAATACCTCATCTCATAAACTTAGACAGATATTTTGTTAGATATTGTACAACCGGTAAAGGTTCCAATTCAAAACTGGCAGGATATACAGAGAATTTCTTTATTCCTAAAAACGGATGAGAAAACTAAACATTTGCGCAATTATCATATTTTTTATCTTAATTTATTAATTTTATGCATGTCCACAAACTTGAAGGAATCACTGGAAAAATAATTGGACAGTTGAATATTCTCCCTCACAAACTTGGCAAATGGATCATGCAAAAATATTCCATCCAAACGAAGGAAGGGATAATTCAAATAAAGCGCCATCTATCTACAAAAATTGCATAAAATTACTTCCCTTAGTCTTCAGCGAAAATTATTTATTTCTGTTTTTAAATTTGCATTTAGTTTAATGACGTATTCAATTAATAATCTCAATTTATTTGATTGGGGTTCATGGTTTTCTTTCTCAACATTTGATTGCCTCACTTGTTTTTCACAGTTTATTTTATCGGCTTCTCTTTATTCCTTTACTTCCCTTTCCGTCATTCATTTATTCGCTTTATCTCGTCTTCACTTATATGCACAGACATGTAAATTCTATTTTCCTTTATCAAGTCCTTGGGTTTTGCTTTTTTTCAATAGTTTCTATTTTTTCTTTCTTTTTTTTCTTTCTTTCTTTCTTTCTTTCTTTCTTTCTTTCTTCGAACTCTCTGTTTCACTATAATTGTTTTCCTCTCTTTCTTTTACCATCTGATTTCTTCCCGGTTAATATCTTAATTCCATTCTTTTCCTCTCCATATTTGGGGGTTTTTTTTCACTTCTTTTTTCTTTTATTCTTTAGACACATTTTTGTCACTGACTTTTAAAATGCATTGATTCTTCCTTTTCATTTTGTCCTTTCTTTCATTTCTATTTATTTTCTCTTATTTGTTCACATTTTTCTTTCTGTATTTCTCTATTTTCAGGCTTTTCATTATTTTCATTTCCATTTTTTGTTTTCTTTCATACATTCCGAAGAAGAATCAGCAATATTATTGGTCCTGACCTGGCATCTCGATTTGAGTCACTTTTCTACCACCGGGTTGTAGCTTCCCTGTGCCTTTTTTATAAATATTTTCACGGTAATTCTTCAGATGATCTTTTCGCTATGGTACCTAGACTTTATGAATTTAAGCGCAGTACTAGATTGGCGGCAAGGTCTCATCAATTCACAGTTGAATTGGCTGTAGATGGAACCGTAACTTCTTAGATTTTATTTCATGTTTAGACTCTCAGTTCGTTCATACATGATTAACACGAAAGTTCGTCGTCCAGTTTTGGAAGATCTCGGTGGTACCTTCAGATTTACTCAGCTGTTTACTGGCTGTGTTTGGATAAAACGATTGTTCCGTAGTTTTGCTTTAAAAGTATTTGCAGAAAAAGAGTGATTTTATTTTCATACAAATCATGGCTAAGTATAAAATGTATAATTAACGCGTGTTACTATTTATGGTAAAATATTCCCACCATTTAACCAAGGAAACTAATGATAAGAATAAAGTAAGTGCAAGCACGTTTTGCGAATGGTCTCCCAATTTTAAAAAAGACAGATATTGGGATGAAAGACAAAAGACAATCTGAAAGATTTCAGAAGTACAAAATTGGTGAATAAGGTGACAAAGTGTAGGATGCGGCATACACAAGACGCCATATTTAGAGAAATAAGAATTTATAAATAAAAATATTGCAATTAGTTTGCATAAGAATCAACGTTCTTCGGTTTGATAAGGGTTGATGTTATAACCGGAAATTCAAGGCATCTATTTCACATATAGCATGACTATATATATATATATATATATATATATATATATATATATATAGGCAGCAATTTTTCATTGATGCATGTTTCATTAAATAATATAGACAAGTTCTGTCTATTTATTTTAAGTAAGTTCCTTTCATATTGTCTGATAAGCTAAATAACATTATCATTGAAAGACGAAAGGAAATCACCATATTGATACATATTTAAATCCAATTGAAACTTTCGGTTTACATAAGCCATTATCAAAGATGACAATTAATTTTCAATATATCAAGCAATACACGGACGAAACAATAATGATAGTTTGTTTTTGCTGCATGAAAAATTTCAAAGCAACGACTAACTCGTGTATACTCGACACGGAAGCGAAAATCGCGTCGCAGCTCGTGACGTCACACATGACCACTCGAGAGTGAAAACGAGAAGTATTAAGTATGGGAAGCCGGCGGTATAAATCAATGACTTCTGTTATAAATTATAGGCATTTAAGAATATTTGTGGATATTTCGTAGTTTATTTTGTTCAGGTTAGATTTCAACTGTTTTATGTATATAGCTTCAAGAATTTTTAGTTTTTTTTTATTGTTTTCATGTTTAAGTAAAGTTGTGTTTTCAACAAGGATTTTCCGGAATTGTCTATATTATTTAATGAAACATGCATTAATATATATATATATATATATATATATATATATATATATATATATATATATATATATATATATATATGTATGTATAGATAGATAGATAGATAGATAGATAGATAGATAGATAGATAGATAGATAGATAGATAGGTATGTGTTTGTGTTTGTAATCGACCTATGAATGAAATTCGAGACTGAAAACAATAATAAAAATAATAATGTTGATAATAGGACTAATAATATAATATTCATTGTATATTAGTCATCCTTTTGATCAAATGAAACCATGATGAGGAAGAAGTTAACAATCGGAATTTTTGGAGACGCCTCTTTCTTTTCTCAACGGCAAATAAAAAAATGACGTTTGATTTTTCCGCATGCCTTATATTGTTGATGGAATTTGAGGCTTTGTTGTTTATCACAATTAGGGTTGTAGAGGGTCCGTAAAAGTTTTTTATAATATATATATATATATATATATATATATATATAATAAACAATAAAATTCCAAATCACTTCATATGGGAATATATATAATCCAAGTGGATCCTAGTAAAATAAAATGTTAAAACTCATCCACAAAAAGAGCTCAATGTGTCTATTATTACAGATCAATATAAGTAATTATATTGTTCTGTAATAGCTTAATTAATAAACAATATTAATTATATTGCTCGGAAATAATAAATAGATTGAGCTTTTTTGTGGATCAGCTTTAATATTTTATATTACTAGTATCCACTTGGATTATATACCAACTATATATATGTACTGTTTCGCAGCTCCTTAGCGCGAGTAAAAGTCTGAAACCGGGATCGAAAGCCGACCGATTTGGTGTCAGTTGGAGTTTCTACCCGTAAGCCATCATCACACATCGGAGATGACTGCTGATTCTAGCGTATTGTTTTTACGAATGTAAACAAACGCAAGGCAGTCAGCGTGCTGGTATTCATTTTACCGAAGAGCTTTTTACATTTACGCTGTCTCTCAAGAGTGCTCAATCAAAATATATTTTCAGACAATACGATTTAGCTGTATCACAGCTCCTCAGTGTCTCACTAGACGTCCGAAAACCTCAAGCCAAGATCGAAACCCACGACCGATTTGGTTTCAGTCTGAGTTTCTACCCCTAAGCTATCAGCATTCTTAAACACAATCTCAATATCTTTTAGGTAGAGTCAAATACAGTGTGTATATTATGATTTTTCAGGCCCTTATTTAAAAAACATGTACAGAAAATAAAGCAAACCAAATAATGTTTAACTGTGGATCAGAAGGACCTGTACATAGAATATTAACTGTTAAACAATCAACTTAAATAAAATTCAGCCAAACGCAAGATGACGTTGAGTTTGTTTTAATATTTGTGAATACAGTTTATATTGTATGTACGAGGGTAAGTTAAAAATTATACGCACTTTCGCCATAACATCTCTTCAGACAAAATTGCGGATAATATTTTTACTTAATCTCGTACAAACCCTTGTGATCCACCGTTGAGTACTTTTTCGTTCTTTATTGCTTATACACGTTTTTTAATAAGATCCCAAAAATCGTAATATGCACGATATATATTGATGTAATTAATATGCATACACCTGAGTTCCGCCTCATAGTAATATGATTGGCTGGTGTCAGCGATAAATACAGACTGATGTGGAGGTACAGGTGGACATCAATTGGCTACGCCTATTGCCTTCGACTATTGCCAACGCCTATTGCCTACCACTACGACGAGGACCAGTCTATTACGGTTACCTGCTAGATTACAGTAGTCAACAACCACTTTGCTACTTCAAACAAATATATCCTTTCCGGTACATATCATATATATATATATATATATATATATATATATATATATATATATATATACATAATTAGACAGCAAGTATTTATTCAGACGTGCTTTATTGAATTCGTTTGATAACTTCCGTCTGTTTAATTTTTATTACATTTTTTCCTCTTCATTATACAAGCAGACGAACATCCAGTTTAAATTTATAAAGGAATTCTTAAAAACTTATAAGTCTTTTTGTTCGGTTATTTCTGACTCCTACTGATCGTTATCAATTATCTTAATGTTATCAGTTACAATAAAGAGATTTTTAAAACGCTATAATTCTTATTTAATTCTTATTTTACTTGTGTGTACCTATTGCGAGTAGCGTCATGGGTAGAATCAATTTCAAACTATGTATATATGTAAATATGTAAGAGATAAACATTTCAAAATATGAGTCCGTTGGGTTTCGTATAATCATCTAATTTCTTTTATGGCGAAACATCTGGCGTTTATTATGAATTGTTTCTTTTTTTAAGAATAGCTTCCATTATTATGAGCTTTTTCATAGTGTTATATATGTTAGTATTTGTCTAATATTAATAGTCATGTGGTCGTCTCGTGCAGCGTTGATCGATCTCAATTTTGATAATATGGTAAATTAACCGACAAGAGAATGTGCTGCTTTTGTGGTTAATACAAGAACTAAATGTTGTTTTTGATTATTAGTTGTAGAGATCCAATTCTCAATGTATAAACACTATTGTCTTTACATAAATTTGTTTTCTTATCTCCAGCGTTAGTGAATATGAGGTTTTACTTAATAACTGAGGATTTCTTTGATCAGGGGTTATGTTTATTTACATTATTTACATGCGGACTATTTACGTGATCATTATCTAGATGCTTTAATGGTAAATTGTGGATGTTTATTTAAATTATTCCGTCATTAAATGATATGTAAGTACGAATTATATTTTTACTGGATTTTTCATCTTTTTTATAGTTAAAATGTTGCAAAAGAATAAGTTGATGATGCTTTTATTTTTGTTTATAAAACGATTAACATTCGACAAGCAATATATATATATATATGTGTGTGTGTTTATGTACGTTTCCATTTTCTGGGTGTGCTGGTGGTACATTGGGAAATCGGGGAGCAGAGTTCGAATTTCTGCCGGTTTTATTGTATTCACTTACGCACAAATGACCTTGGGGAATGTACAAATTATGACCTTGGGGAATGTACAAATTAATCTTCTCCACGAGTTATAGTTTAAATAGTATCGTTTTTATCTGGAAAGATAATTGTTATTCTCAAAATAATTGTTAATTTAATATTCATTCGTAAAGAAAGAAATTATTCTTACAATTCGAAATATGTTTCGGCTTTAGATAAAGGGTTGAAAAACCGTAAAAAAAATCATTCATTTTCACTTGAATTTCTATTAATTGAATATTTCCTTTCATATCTTTTAGTTTTATATTAATATAAATTCTTTCTTCATTGATTCGCAACTCTCCTTCATTTGCCTTATCCTTTTCTTTCATGTTTATCCTTACTTGATGGATTGTCACCCTTTATTATACAATTTCTTCTTCGAAATAATTTACTTATTTTCTTCTTCTTTTCATTTATTGCTTTTCTTTATGTATTTATTTCAATCTTCTAAACGTAATTTGTTCTTTTTATGCCGTTATTCCGTAATTCGTTCTGCAACTAAGCTTTTGCTTTTTCGTTTTTTTTAACGTTTCCCTCTGCAATCACTCATCCGTGAAATCATTCAACCATTTGCAGCGTGTGACTTCGAAACACAACCAAAAACAAAATTATTGTAACTTTGAAAAATACTTTATTTTTCATAGTATAACAAAAAAATATGTATATACTCGGCTTACAGCCTTCATTTATATTTTTATTAATATTCACATTCTGACCTTCGTGTAAGTAACTTTTTCACTTTGCCGGATGCTCTTCTGACGTAGATATTTTGAGTGTGATCTTACGTGCAACGAGAAGAGAGAGTATTTATTTTGCAAAATTAAGTTGTATATACGTGTATATGCTATTGGGATTTTCTTTTAAATCTTCATTATATATGTGTATATAAATAGCATGTGTGTCTGTGGGTGTGCGTGTCGTTCCGTTAACATCTATCTAACTCCATTTATATCTATCACGTTTTATTTAATTCTGTCTACTACTTACCATTAATTCCTATTTATTTACCGCAGTTTATTCATATTTATCTCAACCTTTTAGCATATCTATCTCCGTTTATCTATCTGTCTGTCTCGGTCTTCTTTTACCTATCTATTTATATATCGCTGAATTATATTTACCATCTATTTCAGTGAATTCATACTTACATGGTTTATTCTGCCTCTCAGTCTTAGTCTACGTGCTTCATACCATCGACCCTGAAGTCACTCAACTGTTCTAGACCAAAATTGGCAGCAAGTTTGAACCCTTGAACCTAATTAACAGTGATGCAGACACTTTTGCAGATCACATTAAAGAAGTTTTACTCACAACAGCTGAGGAAGTTTGGGCTTATGAACGAAATCTTGGATTTGTGGGATAAGAGGAGAAAACTGAGAGGAAAGAAGCACTCATTGATGAGGTCTATGCCCAATATCAGAAAGTGCACAATGACGTGAGGAGAAAAATGCGAGCAGCTAAAGAGGAGTAGATACAAAATAAATGCAAAACCACTGAGAAGGATATGCTTACTAGGAATAAAACAACAGGCCTACAATACTCTCAAATCCCTCTCTAAGACCAGCTAACAGAGAGCAACAGTCGTAGAGGATGAGAATGGCAAATTGCTGACGGACAGTGAGGAGGTCCTCCTTAGATGGACTCAATATACAATTACTAGCGCCATTCTGATGTCTCCATATTGTAAACTGACCAGCACTCCACAGAAGTCGAGACCAGTCCATCAATTCTGAAAGATGAGGTTGAGTTGGCAGTAAAGAGCTTGAAACCTGGCAAGTTACCTGGAGTTGATAATATTCCCTCTGAGCAGATAAAACATGGACGTGAAGAAACCACCAAAGTCATAACAGCACTATGCTAGAAGATTTGGGAACAAAAAGTTGCCTAATGAGTGATAATATCCCTACCAAGGAAAGGAAGCCTCAGGCAGTGTTGAAATTATAGGACAATAAGCCTGATCAGTCATCCTAGAAAAGTCCTGCTTCGTATTATTTTGAATCGTTTAAAATCCAAGGCTGAAGAATTGCTATCAGAGGAACAAGCAGGTTCTAGAACCGGACGAAGTACAGTGGAACAGGTCTTCAATTGTAGGATCCTCGTAGAGAAACATCAGAAAGACGTGTTCAATCAACAAAGTTGTGGAATACGTCTTTCTGATGTTGCATTTGATCGTGTATGACATGACGGTTTTTGGCAAATCCTTAGGGAATTCAGTGTATATAACGGAATTATCCAAGTCATCCAGGCTCTATATAAAGATGCCACCAGTGCAGTTCTTCTGGCAAAACAAATGGGAGGATTCTTCCGAACAATTGTCGGCATGTGACAGGGATTCGTAATGTCACCTATATTGTTCAACCTATTTCTAGAGAGAATCTTGCAAGAAACTTTGAAAGAACACGAGCCTATAATCTCTATCGGTGGCAGAACTGTCTGGAACTTATGTTATGCAGATGACATTGACCTCATAGCAGGTAGTAACAGTGAGTTCCAGGACTTGATCAACAAACTTTTTAAAAGACCAAAAAGCTCTGAGAAATACGAAGTAATGGTGAACAGCACAAACAGTAACACCTGTGTCAACATTGAATTCATTGGAGGTAGTGTCTAGTTTTAAATAGTTAGGAGCAATCTTGTCTAAAGATGGCACCTGCAACCCGGAAATATGCACACCGATTGCCACAGCCATGGCAGCAATGGCCAAATTGACAAGGATACGGAGGGGCAAAATAGCTTTCATATTTGTTTTATTTAATTTTATTTATTACATTTGTATACCAATATAATATGTGTGCATATTAACAAATGTCACATGCTCTTCAAGATACCCTCTCCTGTGATGACTTTTAAATTATTTAATCTGTGCTGTTTATTATGTATAATAACAGCTTCTAGGGGTTTGAGTCTTTCCTTGCATTGAGTGCTGTCGATGTCTACACGAATTGCACTGAGTTTCGACGGGTGACAAGTCAATCTGCATGAGAGTGTATTGCACGTGTGTCCAATGTAAATATTTAATGTGTTTTTATTTTATTTTAACGTCGGAGATGCAACTTCTCAAGGTGCACAAGAATTCATAAACAACATTATTTTTACACAGGGAGATATTTGATGTCCCGTGTTGTCGGTAATAATTAGATTAGATGATTAAATTATAGCAGATTATAAATCTTAGATGTTTGTTAGCATCGTTAAGTCATATGTAGCCGTGAATTATGTTTTTAATTGATTTTCCTCCAGTTCATGACACGATTATTAATTATTATTATTATTATTATTATTATTATTATTATTATTATTAAACCCAGAAGTTTATTTCAAACATTTGAGATCTCTCTCAAAGCCACGCTAACAGATCAAATTTGTTAAAGCAGCATTTTGATGGCGTCACTGCTTCAGAGCTTGACGAAGCTGATCACGGTGCTTCAGTTTACTATCTACAAAACCCTTTAACCAGATTTTCAGATCAAAGTTGAAAACGTTTCAAGTTGTCTTTCAATTTGTCTTGGTAGCATAAGAGTGGACGTCCAACTGAACGCTTGGAGTTTGATAGTTGTCTATACAGCATCATTTTTGGAAGCCTATGCTCATCCATTCTCACAATATGACCAGCCTACCTAAGTTGTATATTTGCTAGAAAAGTTTCAATGCCTGTGATGTTATTACATTTCTACAATAATGCACTATTCTTGACCCTGACATCCCATTTTATATCACAAATGGCACGAAAACAGCGCATGTGAAAGGCGCCCAGTTGATTTATGTGCTTGCGGTACAGGGTCCAAGTTTCATCACCACAGAGAAGTGTTAAGAGAACGACTGATCTGTATATATCGATCTTTACTCTGAGAGACACGTCTTTGTTGTTCCATAACCTATGTTTAAGATTACCGAATGCTGGCTTTGACTATTCTGGATTGGATTTCTCTGTCCATTTTCCCATCAGAAGAGACTGTTGTTCAATGATATGTGAACGCCTCAACAGTTTTTAATATCGTACCATCAATAAATATGGAAGGATTTGTGAGTAATGGATTTCCTGGTACTGGCTGATACATTAACTCAGTCTTCTTAATGTTGATATTGAGTCCAAATGCTTTTGCTCTTTCAGAGAATTTATCAAGGATAGATTGAATATCTTCTCAACTGTCTGCTAACAGAGCGGCATCATCTGCAAAGAGAAGATCGCGTACAAGCTACAGGCAAAGTTTCAATTGTGCTTTTAAAACGTCGCTGATTGTATAGACCTCCACTTGTTCTAAATTCAACATTGACTCCTTCACTTGAGTCAGAGAATGCTTTTTCAATCATAGCAGAAAAGAAAAGTGCAAAGAGAAGAGGAGCAAGAATGCAAACTTTGCTTTGTACTGTTGGAGACAAAAGAGAGGTTCGATTTCACACTTCCCGTCCTTTCAAAAGCTTTCATTCCTTCGTGAAAGGACATAATAATATAAAGTATTTTTTTATGGAACACCTAATTTTGACAAAAAGTTCAAAAGAGCAGTTTAAAATACAGTATCGAAAGCCTTTGTGAATTCTACAAAAACAACAAATAGATCCTTGTTTTTTTTCTTGTGCCTTCACCTGAGCCTGCCGAAAACAAAAGATTATATCCACGGTTCCTCTACCGGATCGAAAACCACACTGGGTCTCTGGTAATGCCGATTCTAAGACAAATTCATTAGACCTATTCAAGATGATATGAGCAAGGATTTTGCCAGCAACCGAAAGAAATATGCCTCTATGGTTGTCATATTCACACCTGTTCTCTTTCCGCTTATACAAATGGATAATTGAAGCATCCTTATACTGCTATGGCACTTCATCTTTTTCCCACACAAGGTTGAAAAATTCACAAATTTTGCGTATCAGAAGATTGGTGCCACATTTGTATATTTTAGCTGGAATTCGATCTCCGTCGGGGACTTCTCTATTCGAAAACTGATGGCTTTTTTTAGCTAAAAGATTGAAGGGTTAGCAGAATGGCTTTGTACCACAGGTCTCTAAGGAAGATTGTTTATTACTTCAACATCAACAGACGAATCCTGATTTAGGACCGTGCAGAAGTGTTCTGCCCAACGTTCCATAATCTGGTTTTGTCTGTCAAAAGATTGTTATCTGAAGAAAATATTGGTGATAGGCCGCTGGAAATGTGACTAAAAAAACCCATCACATCTGTCAGCAGTCTCCTGCAAAGCTTTAGCCTTTGCTGTCCACCAGCCCTTCTTCATCTCCCTCAGTTTTGCTTGAGACTTTCCATTGGTTAAATCAAAGCAGGCCCATCAAAGAAAAGAGGCCTTTGATTTAAAGGCCCGTTTCTTTGATAGGCATGCTTTCTCTGTCATCCAGACCTGATGATATTTATACATGTTTTCAAGGAGAGATTTAATTTCAGGATCGTTTGAATTCCTGTAGAGTTGTAGATAGTTAGTGGATATATATATATATATATATATATATATATATATATATATATATATATATATATATATAACCTTTTCTGGGGACTTGTAGATAACTTAGCGACGCCCATCTCCTCTCCAAGTCCTTAGACGACAGCCCTCCATTAACACGTAAGAGATTTAGAGGATGGGTGACAACCAATACTGCCTATTACACTTAAAAATAAGGTGCAGCAGACGAGTAACAAAGGTACTACTTCTCCCCAATGCCCCGTATACACCTAATTTTTTTTTTATACACCGAATGTCAGAGTAAACAGTTCGTCATAAAATGTGTCAATGTATTGATATATATATATTTTTAAAATAATAATAAAAAATAAAATAAAAAATATAAAATTATCAAATATATTGGAATATTTTATTATTATTATCAATATTATTATTGTTTTTGTTGTTGTTGTTGTTTAAGAAATAATTGAATGATAAATAATAAAATCAAATTGACTATTAGTAAATGAAATAAAATAACGTTATAATTGAAGACGCTTTTCCAACAATTAATAAATAAGAAATTTTAAAAGAATTAAGATCACACCAAATGCTATTTAAAGAATCTTTGAATATAAATAATAATAGATAAAGAATAAAGAAGTATATATATATTCTCTTTCGTAGGTTAAGCACTTTGGAAGAAAGGGAAGTTGTCAACTACTACTGATTAATGTTAAAAGCTCTTCGCTATTAATTGAGCGCTCTAGCAGTTAGCAATGATTATATCTCATATATAAGGCGTTAAAAATTCCCTTTCTCCGTACCG